CGAATTCAAACCTCATTTTCAGAATCGTGTTTTTGAGTTGATTGACCCATTTTTTTAAGTATATGATATAGGTATTATTGTTTCTAGAATCTTATTGTGATTACTTGATTGTAATAGATTGTGTGGCTTTGGATGTTGTTCGGAAGGGGAAGACTCAAGTTTTGGAGTGACTAGTTGATTGAATTAAGGCAAGTGATTTTCTAAGCCTTGTAAAATTAATAGAATTCGTCTATTTTCCTTAATTTTGTATGTGTTGGGAAGTAATGGGAATGAGGTGAAGGGTTCATTGTTTCACTTGATTAAGCTTAATGAATAAAAATGGATTAAGAAAAGGCAATGTGGTGATCATAATTCTTTATGAATTGCCTTGTTGTGGCCCCTACTTGATTGATTGATGAAATGTTTTGATGGAATGAAAGTGGACTTGAATTGCTTGATTGTTGTCTCTTCCTTCTGGCTAGTAAAATGATATAAAGTCAAAGGGAAATGATTCCGACTAGTTATATTATATAAAGCCGAAGGGAAATAGTTCTGATTAAATTAGTGATATGGTACAAAGCCGATGAAAAATGGTTCCGTGTAGTGATATTGTGCCGAAGGGAAATGGTTCCAACAAGAGTTGACTATAGTGATTTGATGCATTTTGATACTTGTGGCTGATTTACTTGTTACTTGTGATTGATATACTTGAAACTTGAGATTGACTTACTTGATATGTATTGGTCGATGAATTGTGTGGTTAAGCCTTGTGTGCTATGAATTGTGAAATTGTTAGGTTGGGTTGATTTCTATGTAGGTTGTAGTTTGAACAGGTTCAATTGGGATGAAAGGAGTATTCAATTTCTAGCTAGTTTGCATTGTTTATTAGGTTGCTTGTTGAGTACCGTATTGGTTGGTACTCACTCTTTGCTTCTACACTTGTGTAGGTTCCGAGTCTGGCACCATGTGATTTCCCTTCTACTCCTATTTCTGAGACTTGTTGAGAGGTAGTTGCTTGTCATCCTGGCAGACCCTCTTTTTATTTTATGTTATGCTTTGTTCTATTTGAGAAACAAAGACATTGAGACTTGTACTTATCTTTCATTTTCGCATTATATGTATTAGTGGTTTGTACACGTGACAACCAGGTTTCAGGGTTATAATAAAATGAATACGTTTTCCGTTTTTAGCTTGTTCTTGCTTTTCTTTCTGCATTTCTTTAGTTGAGTTGAGTTAAGGTTGACTTGTTTTCATAGGAATAGACAAATGTAACCACGTTCATTTTTGAATCGTGACACTTATAGCTTTAAAAACAAAAGTTTTTACCTCACCCTCACCCCCACATAAAAAGTTAAAAAAAAGTTTTTCTATCACCCCACCCCACCCCCAACTCCAACCCCATTCCAAAAGAATGTAAAACAAAATTAGTTTGCTTTTTATATAAAAAAAAATTATCACACCTCACCTGCCACCCCCACCCCCTTCCCACCCCTTCCCAAAAAAAAGGCTAATTTATTTATTTTTAAATTTAGATTATTTTTTCTTACCCCATCCCCACCCCCACCACCTACGGCCAAAAAAATATTAGTATTACTTTTTCTTTCTTTTATAAATGGACATATTTTACCCATTAAATTAACCACTTTTAAATGAGTAATATGAGTATTATTCGTTTCTTATCCATTTTAAATGAGTTGAGTACCCGATTCATTTAAAATGGGTAAATATAAGTAGGTACCCACATTAATTACCCATTATGTCATTCGGATCCGGCTCCTCTCCATTTTACCCAAGTTCTAGCTTGGATTGGAGACACGTGTTATAGTTTAGAATTAATGGTTGAGATCTAATTGATTAAATAAAGTCCTAATCATAGTTTTTTACTTCCATATACTTGCTTCTTAAATATTTTTGCAATATAAGATATTTAATTATAATTATTTTATGCAATTTCCTCTTTGACTAATACATTCTGAATTATTGCACGGGTGTGGTTGGAATGGAAAAAAATGTTTTCCATACTGGGATGGTGAATGAAAAAAAATCAAATAAATAAATAAATTACATAGTATTTTGATGAAACTTTGGATAAAAGAGAATGTAGAGATTCACAATAACATATATATATAGACTATTACAGTTGAATCGAGTAATTAAAAATTAAAAGTTAAAATATGTGCAAGGAAAATGAGATATATGTCAGTTTGCTAATTTTGATGAAATCGATTTCTTTTTACCCCCTAGAAAATGATTTCCGTCATTTCAAATATCATTAAATTACTCTCTCTTTTTTTGGAAAACATTCTCCTAGTAAACACACCAATATAATATATTTTCGTTATTGTTTGCCACTTTGCACTTTATTAATGGTTTTTATATGTTTCCAAATTTTATACGTGCGAGCAATATAGACTCCATTTAGAGAGTAAGAAAGAATTTAAAGTTAAGTGACAAAAAAATGTTTACTCCTAAAATTAGGAAAAAAACGTCAGTACAATTTTTAAATTTTTATTTGGCAAATATTATTTGAGAAATGGCAAACATTAGGTAAAAATCAACAAAAAATTACTCAAGTAATTAAGAAAGGAAATTCTTTTAAATATATTTATGAAAAATATAATGTAAATCTAGAATAGTTTGATTGCAAAAATATTTAAGAAGCAAATATATGGAAGTAAATAACTATGATTAGGATTTTACTTTAATCAATTAGATCTCAACCATTAATTCTAAACTATGACACGTGTCTCTAATCCAAGCTAGAACTTAGGAAAATGGAGAGAAAAGAAATGGAGAGGAGCTGGATCCATGTCACTCCTAGTCGAGAGGTTTGAAACAGTGGCAGAAATGCCCTAAAACGAGGTAGTTATGGTGATATCATTCTTTCTATTAACAAACATTGGTTAGACTAAGAGCCCGTTTGGAATGACTTAAAGTCCGTTTGAATTGGCTTTAAAAAAATGTAGTTTTTAAGTTGAAAATAAAAAGTGAAATATAAATGACTTTTAAGTCAAAAAATAAAAAGTAGGGGGAAGGCTTACTTTTGGTTTTTTAACTTATTTTGAGTGGTTTTTAACATTGTCAAACATTTTCTAACTTATTTTAAATCATTTTTTACTTATTTTAAGTTATTTTTATTCTTCTCAAACACTTTCAGAAGTCAAATACTGACTTAAAAGTAAGTTTGACTAAATTTTAAATCAATCCAAACATCCTCCTTAAAAAATAGCTTTTACGTCAAATAAAAAGTCAAAATTAAATAATTTTTAAGTCAAAAAATAAAAAGTAAGAAAAACCTACATTTGATTTTTAACTTATTTTAAGTTATTTTTGACCTAATGAAATACTTTCTAACTTATTTTAAGCCATTTTTTGACTTATTTTAATTTATTTTTATATTTATCAAACACTTTCAAAAATCAAATACAAACTTAAAAATAAATTTGACTAACTTTTAAGTCGATCCAAATACCCTCTAATTTTGATAGTTTTATTAACTTGTGGGTGTTTCTGATTTGACTAACTTTTGGCTAATTTGAGTATTTCTGAGGGAAAATGCATAAGTACCCCCCTAGCCTATGCCCAAAATCTCTGAGACACACCTAACCTTTACTAAGGTCCTATTACCCCCCCAAACTTATTTTTTAATTAATTTTTTACCACTTTTCGGCTTACGTGGCAATATAAACCAAATAGGTTGAAAGCTTTGTTCAACACGCGTCGGGCCCCACTTTTTCAACTTTCTAAAAAGTAGCTTTTACACTTCCCAAAATTTCAAAAAGCTATCCTATTATTTATAATCTACTTTGTTAATATATTTTTAGTTAGTTTATAGTTTTCAATGTTTATATATTTTATTTTAAATTTGGGCTTGTAAAATTTTGTAAATATTATATATATAATTTTATTTTATTTATAGATAAAAA